CCATAAATGTTGATAAATGTCCATAAATGTTGTGGAATGTTGAGTTTCCTGGATCACAGTCCTTTTAGTTAGACCCTCACAAGGGTTCAACAGACCCTCCTGCATTGGCAAGGACCAACTCTAAAACTCAATGTGAAAAGGTGAGAAACTTTGGGAGGTCCAAATGAGAGAAGGATCTGCTCCCACCGATTGACGGGCTACAGATCCAGGACTCTTTTATTTCATATTTATATTATTCAATTGGAATGCATGCTGCTCTCTGCAAGGACTCTCTATTTCTCTAAGTTTCTGGCACACCTTTGAGTACAAAGAGTGATTGATTAAAGATATATGCAACTTTTGATGTGAAAAAAGTTTATATTTTTGCATGCCCTTTTATTCAGTGACTCAGTGGATGTGTGAGTGGTTAGCACGGAGCCTTTCCATCACAATGCACTCGGATCATATGTTTCGGAAGGTTTTCTCTGCTGTGGGATCCCCGCATCAGAAAACGTACACAACAATTGATCCTGGAGCACTGCAGCCACAACCCAAACGAAAAGGCCACTCATAAAGCCACTAGGACACTTCAAGATCAAAAATATCAAGTTTTTATTATATTTTCTCGCATAAAAAGTTGCCAAATGTTCTCTTTAATGAACCCACTCCATACATTGCTTAGACTCGCCTTCTGAACAAGTACGTTTTCCAGTTTTCTACTGTTTAACTTGTGGCGGCAACATATTAAGTCTCAGTTGTAACATGTGAAGTATTTCCACTAATGTATAATCTGCATTCCTATGATAATCTCTGTCTATGTGTCTAATCTGTGGCCCAAAACAATCTCCAAATAAATAATAAGAAAACTTCAGCCTTATAAAGCAACAACATTATGCAACTAAAACCAACACAACTAGTTTTAAAGATGTTTTGTTACAGGGTCAAAGTCAGTCTAGTTTCACAGCAGAGAATAAGCAGCAATTTCCATTTTATGCACTTATTATCGTCTCATTATAAGTTATAAATAAACACAAGGACTTGTCTGCATCAGTGAGCAGCGGTAATTGTATGATAAAAACATGAAACCCACAAGCGCCTTTAAAGGAATCTTTCAATTTGCGATCGTCATGACAAGATTATTACTATTACTGAGCAGGTTAGTTAGTGATGTTTATTCATTGTGAGTCGATCTGTCACTTTTGAAAATGATTACGATTAAACGACAATACTGAAAGTACTTTAAAACAGTAAAATAAGTGACTTTTTGTCCAATTTAACTGTCTACATCTACAGCTTCTATTAGCTAAAATCTGTCTAAGTTGGCTATGAAAATGTACAGACTATAATTATTGAGAATTGAGGCCCAAAATGTTCAATGCATATACAAATACAAAATGATTATAGGTATAATTATGAGTTTCAAAAATATTTATAATAATAATAATAATGCATTATTTATCTAGCGCTTTTTACATGACACTCAAAGATGCTTCACTTGTCATTATTCTTTCACTCCAAACACGGTGGTGATAAACTATTACTGTAGCCACAGCTGCCCTGGGGCACACTGCCAGTTTGAACTTCTGCCCATTTTGTCATGTTACAACCACAATATTAATATTTTACTCAATGACCACAACAAAGTGACACACAACAGTGAAGTGAAAGCTTAAGTAGCGCAGTGAGGACTCTGAGGAGCACAGGGACTGGACTCCTGTTAGTGCCCAGAGTCAGGACTAAACATGAGGAGGCTGCTTTTCAGATTCATGCTGCTAAAATCTGGAACAATCTTTCTGAAGATGTGAGACAGGCCTCTTCTTGACATTGTTTAAAAACAGGTTAAAAACAGTTCTGTTTAGCTCTGCATACATTTTTAATTTTTATCTTTCCTTTTAATATACTGTATTATGTATGTCTTGTTTTGTTCGGCACTTTAAGTTTTCTTGTGTACAGTATGAACTGTAATAAACCTTGCCTTTCCCCTAAAATACTATCACATTGTGACAAACTTGGATTGGATTCACTCGGTTATCGTATGAAGTTATTATCCCCAAACCTGTTGCTGTGCCGACTATAGACTTTGAAATGAAGTCTTTTGCATATAGAGTCTAAAATTCTTCGCAGCACAATACTAATACTTTTACTACATGCTTACACTGACGTCGTGAGGCCTATAAGTCCGAGCATCATTTGGAGGGCGGTCTCGGTCGCGATGTTTTCCTGGAACAGTGGAGGATGACATGGAGCAGTGAGGAATGTAGGGGAGACCAGGGCCCTCCCCAGGGGACTGTGTGTGAGGAGCTGGTGTCCGGTGTAAGGTGAACGCTGCTTACGGGACAACGTAGAAACTTAGAATGAAAACGTGTAGTGCTGTGTAATAACAAGGGGGTTTGTGGGAAGTTTAGGACGGTTAGATGTGACCTCTGTGTGACACGATGCATTCTTTGTCTTTGGAAATTTACAGATGATGTCACTCGGTGCATCATGGTTATTATTGTTACAGCGACATAATTGAGAGCAGAAACTAAGTCTAGAGGTTGGAAATAGATCAAACCATGCGCGTTATTGTAAACGTTTTTTTAGTGTGTAAAATATTAATTCCAAGTCTAGTAGTAGTATTATTTCTGGCTAAAATTACAGTAAACAACAAACAATTTGATTAAAAGTAACAAAGAAACTGTCAGAAATATGCACATCTGACAGCTACAATTCTACTTTCGCTAAATCTACTGTCTTTCTTATACATTTAAATGACTATTTATCTTGTGTTTGACCGCTCTCACGTTGTTCTTGAGCTGTGCATTGCTACACTGACATGCACAATGGTTGGGATGACTAACGATTTTTAACCTGACATCTATACATAGACGTCGGAACTAGGGGTGCGGGGGGTGCGGCCGCACCCCCTCCGCGTGTGCCGGGAGCGAGAAGTTATCACTATCCTGCGTTCCTTGCAGCCCAAAACCCGCTCCATGCTGTCGGAGGTGCTTATGAAGCTCTGTCTGGCTAATATCTGTCGCAGCCTCTGAGCGCTCTTTCTCAGCCTTGCGCAGATTAGAGACCTGGCTACACCAGTGACGTGCGGTGGGGGATCAATCATGTGTTCATATGATTATACATCATATAAACCAACAGGACCTACAGGAACAGGAGCGGCTTATACACAATTTGTTTGGCTACAGCAGAATATGATTTAATGTCTGCATTGTTTTCTCATACAAAATGCAAACGTTTGTAAAAAGTACAAAGTGTGTTATGGGCCTTACCTTAGGTATTAATGAACAGCACAGACCACTTCAGTTAGGACCAGTTTCATGTTTAAGTCCAGATAATAGTTTGAGCACAGACATGTAATCCTCCATTTGGAAATAAGTTCAATGAGTTTTAAAAAGTAAAAAAAACGGGTGTCTCCTCCGTAAACTCCGAGTTTTGCTGCAGCCGACTCCCGGGTAAATCCAATTTCTAAATTCAACCTTACCCTTCACCTCCTTTTCTTATGATTCATATCATCATTGGAAGCAAAACATTACTCTAAGTGCATTTTAAATTATCTTAAAATGTATTATAGGTATGTTAGCCAAACCTGTAGCTGCCCTTAGCAGAAGAAGAACAAGAAAGGAGCTTTCTGATGGAATTGGATGCAGCCAAAGTTTGGGCTCACAAGCGCCCCCTTGAGGCTTTCCTCACTTACAAGCTGTGGTTGAGCGCGATTAAGACCCATATTTGCTTCAAAAACACAATTTATGAGCCATCCTCTTAAATTTAAACATGTTGATTGTAAATTAAATATTTTTGAACGTTTTAAACTGTGATAAACAGAGAAAACAGTTTGATAGCACCTCACAGGACTCTCCCTGTGAGCTGTTGCTTTTTACGTCTCCCAAGAGAGGCTGCCTCACAGCGCCGCTCTGTCAAATCTGCAATTTCAAGGTATAAATAAATGAAATAAGGCACAGCACAAATCACTTGATAAAGTGACCAAACATTATTGTATCCATTTTATTACTTTTCTTTCTATGATCTTAGGTGAGGGCCTTGCCTGCCTCATCTGACCGCACGTCACTGGGCTACACAACACAATGAAGCCACCGGAGAGACTGACGCATGAATGCGTATTGAAAAAAAAAAAGTTCAGTTTGATAAGTGACTTGCTTGATATATATTGTTTATTTTGTTTTTCTTAACAATTAAGATGGTATGTTTTTATCCAGTGTAATCCAAGTATGAGTCTCTCCCTCGACTCTCCCAACAAAAACCCGCCCCCCCTCTCAGAAAATAGTTCCGACGTCTATGCATCTATATAAACATTATACAGGCCAGTTTTGGGACACTTTTGATGACTTACAAAACATATTTGCGGAAAAACGAATCAACTTTTTTCAGCCTTGTCCACTTTTTTGTTTACTTTAGGAAGTTGATAGGAAGTCACACATCAATCCTGACCTTATTTCCACTTTTTATTGTACATAATATCTCCTGAACAGACTATATTTTTGCCTCTAACATGTTTGCACACTTCTGTCTTTTGCAATCTGAGTGATCCTATCTATACCAAAGTGACATGTACATTTCTGTGTGAGATCAATAAAGTCTATCTTATTTTATCTGAACGATCAGCACAGCAAACATGAAGACTTAATTATTATTATTTTTTTTTTTTTTGAGGACTGTGTGACTATTCATGCATATTATGTTAGTACACACTTACATTCTTATGGCTTTAGTTTGATTGATGCCAAAGCCAGTGTAGCTCATGCTTTGTTCCCCCATGTTTACTAAAGTCATCACTGTTGAGCTGATGGCTGACGCTAATTGAAAGGGCGCGCGGGGAATCGACGCGTTTAATTGGCTGAGCTTAATTGATTTCCTGGTGATCACGTGCCAACCACGCCGCACGCGTTTCGATATAATTAACACGTGACACCATGATTAAAGTAAGCAAATTACTTTCAAAATGGATAAATTAGGCTAAACATATTCACATCTAAGAGAGAGAGAGTGAGAGAGAGTGCAAACTTTACCTAGTAGCATGACCTCCAGCTTCTTCCGGTCCACTCGAAACCTCTCCTCCATCCACTCCGGGTCTGGCAGGGGATGCGGTCCGCTCATGTCGTCCTCAGAGCCGGGCAGAGGAGAGTCTGTGCTTCGCTCGCTGTTGGAGCCCTGGTCAGACTGCTGCTGCTGCTGCAAATACCCGCTCAAAGAGTCACACTGAGCAGCCATTGCGCCAGCGGCCACTGCGCCTCTTCCAGACGCGAGGAGAGTTTGCGGCAAAACAGGCAAACAGCAAAACTTTCCCAGACACAAAGAGTTTCTCCTTTTTTGTCTTTTTTTTTATTCCGTCCCCTTGCCGTGCTGTTGCATATTGCAGCTTGTCCCTTCTCTGCAACAGTTAGGTTTAAAAATAATAAAAGTTCATTTCCATAAGTTTTCCTTTTTCAGATGTATCTAGGGGCACACAAACTGGACCGTTAGGCGAAAGCAAGAGCTCGACAGTGCAGCCAACACCAACTTTGTCTTTGGGAAAGTTTCACGTGTCATCATGCAAAAAGAGGGAAGAGAAAAAATCTGACTCCTCCCAGGCGCTGTTTTTTTGGAGATCTGCCTCCCCCTGGGCTCCCAAGTAAGCCACTTTTAACTCTTATAAATTACAAAAAAAGCCGCGGCCTGAGTATTGTTTTTCCCCTTCAAAGTTTGTTTCAAAATAACGAATAATCTATTTCTACATTTACATTTACGCATGTGTCGTGTTTGCATTTGCGTAACTTTATCAAAAACGCATTAATTTGTGCCCTTTCCGCGCTTTAGTATTTATCAGCTCATAGAGGAAGCACTTGACATCCTGCGTCTGACTGTTAAAGCAATCCAGGAAAGAGAAACCCAAACAAACCCAGTCTAACCCACGCATTTGGCCTGCAAGATATGTGTTAGTGGCCCCGATATGATTTTTAATGAATTACTATTAAATATTGAGAGGTTTTTCGGCGACCATGATCTTATACAGTTTAAAGGGAACATATTATTAAGTTTATTAAGAAAAAAACCACCTCGTTAACAGGTCAAATGTATATTTTAGTCTGCAATACCCAGCTTCCTCTTCTTTTTGTCCAGTTTTGTCTCAATCCAAACATAACTGCACTCATTTTGTTTGGAAATATCTACCTGAACAGAATATCCAAATCTATGTGAAATAAGTGCATGGTATCAATTACTCTCATACATTAAAAGTTGTCCCCAGATTTAGAAAGTCTGTCCCTGACAACAATGACGCCTAAAACTCTCTAAAACGTTTTTTTTTTTTTTGGCGTTTTAAGTGTAATTTATTGTTTTGAATGGTCTTGTTAAACCAAGAGGCCTCAGCTGACACATGTGTGAGATATAGTAAATATACAAAACCTTTATTTTATACACTATACGCATGTGTGGGAGTTAACCTCGACAAAAAAAATAAAAATAAACCTCGATTTAAAAGTTGGAGATATGAATTTGTGAGTGCAGAAACAAAACAAAAACTATCAAGAACATGTAAAGTTATGTGGAGATTCTCGTTTCAGTGTAAGTAATTGTACGGATAATAAACAGAACAGTAGGTAAAGATCCCCCGTGGATTTCCAGTATAAGGCAACGGGCGCCATCTAGTGGGCACTTATATGTTAACAGGCTAACGCTATAGCACATAAAAACGCAGAATAACGTATGGCATACTATATATATGTATATGTGGCTGGAAAATTTTCATTTTTGTGACATGTATATCAATAATGGATGGTTTAGTCACAAAAGACCGAGGGTCAGATGAATGTCATTAATATTTAGATGATGATTAGTTGAACTGGTATAAGTGATGAATATGAGTTTATAAACACATTGAAAGTCATACATTTTGAGTTAGTGTATTTCTGTTTATTTTGCATCGTGATCATTCTAGTGTTGTTATTGAATATGTAGACTTTTTTTTTTTTTTAAATTGAACGTAGAAAAAAATAATCAATTAACAATAGAACAAACACACTCTTGCTGAAAACCAAAGAGACAAACAAACACAGTCCATTTGGTTTCTGCCTTCAGTATTTGGTTTTACAGATATAATAAGATCAAGATTTAAAGATCCTTTATTCATCCCACTGTGGGGAAATGCCAGTGTGTCATTGCACATTACAGAACAGTAGGAATGAGGAGCATTAAGTGAACATTAAGTATAGCACACTTTTTATTAAATTAGATAAAATAAAATTGCTCTTTTCAGCTTAGAAAAGAAGCAAAGTATAAAAGACTGTTTACTGTAGCGCAAAGAAATATAAACGTTTATGTATAAATCTATAGATACAGCTGTAACACACTCTAGCGTAAGAATATACTGTAAGATAAGATTTCAATGTCATCGTTGTGCAAACTACAGCAGAATTAGAAGTAGGAAATAAGAGCACTCAGATGTCAAACAGGATCTATTATTTAAAGTCATAAGATATTACAGTTTTTCTCAGTGGCTTTGGTGCATTTCTCACATCAGACTTAAAGTTCTCAAAACTATTAGTTCAACTTCCACAACATTGAGTCATTGGTGCACATCCTCATGGCAGTTTCTCATTCCTATGAACACATTTAAAATGCTTTTGTTCATGTATCAGTTACTTTCATACAATTCTCTGCTGTTTTATAACATTATCATTCGCTTCTGTCCTGTCAGTCAAAATGAAACATACTTATCACTTCTGAATAGTCTTTCCCGTTAAAACCAATAGTCCTCATTTCATCGCTTTGGTCATCACATACAAAACTGTTGAACTAGTTCTCAAAATCATATTTGTCAAGCTAATTTCATACATTCCTTTGTCTTTTTTTCCTGTAAATCTTTCCTAAATTGAACAATTTCTCTCAGGTGAATTTCAGCTTCACTCATGACGAGGCGTGTGTTTTATTGTTTACATTTGTCACAGTTCTATCATAATGCTATTTCTTGTATGTTTGTTCTACGTAAATACTGTATGTGACTGTATTTTTGTTGCACAATGTTGTATAATTGCAAAGAACATATGCAGTAAATATGTGAAAGACATGCAGTACACATACATACATAAATTCACATACATACTGTACGGTACATATATACTGTACAGTACATACATACTGTTCAGTACATACATACTGTTAAGTACATACATACTGTACAGTACATACACACATACAGTACATACATAGATACACACATACATACAGTACACATACACACATACATACATACAGTGCATACATACACACATACATACATACAGTGCATACATACACACATACATATATGTCAGTTACCTCTCTAAATACAAACTTTACTGTAGTTTTTACTGTAAATGGCTGTATAGGTTGTGTATAATGTGCTCATAGTCGTGCTCAAGTGTCTCCGAGATCTGACTTTTTTACATTGAAAACACAGAGAGAGTGAACTTTCACAATGAAAACATGACTAAGTCATTTGACTGTGTTGTTCATACTCAATGTTGTCAGGACTTATTATTTTGACGACACAGACAGTTTGATTGACCTGAAGACTTGCTTTTGAGGAATTACAGTTTTTCTCAGTCGCTTTGGTGCATTTCTCACATCAGACTTAAAGTTCTCAAAACTATTAGCTCAACCTCCACAACACTGGGTCATTGGTGCACATGATCATGGCAGTTTCTCATTCCTCTGAACACATTTCAAATGCTTTTGTTCATGTATCAATAACTTTCATACAATTATCAGCGTTTTTTTAACCTTATCATTTGCTTCTGTCCTGTCAGTCAAAATGAAACATACTTATCACTTCTGAATAGTCATTCACTATAAAACTAACTGTCCTCATTTCATCGCTTTGGTCATCACATACAAAATTGTTGAACTAGTTCTCAAAATCATAACTGTCAAGCTAATTTCATACATTCCTTCATCTTTTTTTCCTGTAAATCTTTCCTAAATTGAACAATTTATCTCAGGTGAATATCAACTTCACTCATGAGGTGTGCTTTATTGTTTATATTTGTCACAGTTCTACCATAATGATATTTCATGTATGTTTGTTCTATGTATATACTGTACATGTACAGTATGTGCCTGCAATTCTACAGCATTGTGCAACAAAAATACAAAGAGCATATGCAGTACACATACATACATACATATACATACAGTACATACATACATAGATACACACATACATACATACACATACATACAGTACATACATATATGTTACAGAATGTCAGTTACGTCTCTAAATACAGTCTTTGTGTAACTTTACTGTAGTTTTTACTGTAAATGGCCGTATAGGTCGTGTATAGTGTGCTCATAGTCGTGTTACCGAGATCTGACTTTTGAAACACAGAGAGAGTGAAGTGTCACAATGAAAACATGACTACATGTAAATCATTTGACTGTGATGTTCATACTCAATGTTGTTAGGACATATTATTTAGACGACATAGACAGTTTCATTGACGTTTGGACTTGCTTTTGAGGAATACCTTTTGAGAAGGTGACACACTGTTGCAAGTTATGCACAAGGTTTTGCAGAAACAATTGTTCTGAGAAACAGTTTTACAAATGTGAAGAATGATGTGAGAAATGCACCAAAGCGACTGAGAAAAACTGTAAAAAAGTATACATTAAAACTCTGGGGATATAATTGCACTTGGTTTGGAGGTATTTACAGATGTGGATATTGCACTTTAGCAGCAGAGAATATTAGCAGAATAAACAATAGTAATTATAGCTGGTAACGTGACTGTAGTGAATGACAGAAATATCAGATGAATGGAAATGTAATAATGTAGTAATAATAATAACAATAGGTAAAGTGACGATAGTCACTAGTGAACTATCATCAGAACTTGTGAGTGGCTCGTGTACAGACTCAGCAGTTATCTTTGTTGAACATTGAAGTAATAAGTCATTAGCTGCATTCAAATACACAGCAGAAACCTTCCACGTTCATATTCTCCCGCAGGATTCCCGAGACAAATATATACGGATCACAATAATCATGCTATCAATACTCTTGTTATAGTTTTGCCACGCAGCCCTGGTATCGATCCATGTCGAGTGTACAGCGGCTGCAGAGCTGTGCCGTTAGCCTCATATCAGTTGCACAGCGAAAAGTGAGTGTCCGCTGTTATAGTCCTGCTCAATGGCCTCTCTGCCCTCTGTCCTGACCGCCAGGGAGACCAGGACAGATGCGCACAGACAGTTAGGCTCAGTGCATATGGAGAAAAGGCCACATCTGTGATCTTTCACGCCTCAGCTGTTGCCTATACCTCTCAGCTATGAAGTCCATCAAATTGTGAACGCATAACGAGTATTTTTGTATAATTGTTTCTGTTCATGGTGGAAAAAATAATACATATGCAGTATACACAGCCTAAAGTGGCACATTCATGGTTTACAGTCATGCACAGACAAGTTCCGCACGGGTAGGAATTATGCTGCCGAGTGGCCTGAATAAGAATACTGTGTGAACTCTGTGTAAAGCCAGGGTACCTAACTTTTAAATAAAAATGGAAGTATATGAGGTAAAATCTGTGTAATGTGTCCAATGCTGTTGGATCTATTTCCTCATGCAGGTCAGGTTTTTCAGACAGATAAGTGAAAGAGAGAACCACCCTCACTCAGCCAGTCAGCTCTCAGCCCAAAAAGTGGATTTTATGACCCATAAGGTTCATTCTTACACGTATGAAGAATTTAAGATGTTTTATTATTCAATGAAAATGTTGTGGTCTGCTTTGTCCACTTACTCTTTGGACTCTTGGGACAGTGCATGTTAATGAAAACACCTTTCCAGATTGTAGCCTTGGGATATTTTGCATCTGTCCCACAATCACATTCACAAACACACACTCATTCACTCTGAACTATTTTACATGTTTTTAGTGGTTGGGGAAACCGAAGCACCCGGAGAAAACAAACGCAGACACAGGGATAACATGCAAACTCCACACAGAGAGGCCTGGAGGTGGAATCGAACCCAGGACCTTCTTGCTGTGAAACACTATCACACTGCCACATGCTGTGCCACCGTGCCGCTCTGTTGGGGCAAACATGTATTATTATGTGGAGGAAAAATAACTGTCGCTTTTAATATTGGATTGAATAGTTCGAATGACCAAAACACGACTATTGTACTTCACAGCTGAACAATTGAAACATATTTGACAAGAGCCTCCTCCGCTCTGTTCTGTAAAAGCTTTCATCCGCCGTAATAGCTGCGACATTTGCTCTGAGCGTCTCCAAAACTGGGGTGTAATTTATTCCGATCCTCACACACTATTGCTCATGGATCGATGCGCGTTCACGACAGCCAAGGTTTGGCGGTGGCGCGCCCGTGCTGCTTGCTTGGAAGCATCGCAGGGAGAGCGCGGAGGGAGGGAGACACACAAACCGAAACACGGCCAGCGATCATCAGAGAAGCACACGGAACCAAAGCAAGTGTCCAGCGAATGTCCGCCGCGTCCTGCCGCCGCCAATGAACTGTCTTCGCATTCCTATGTCTGCCAGTTGACCCGGTTTTTACGCGCTATATACAGAGGACCAGGCTCGCACCTCCTTGGCTGCAGGAACCAGGAGTCTTGAAGCGGGCTGCGTTGATCAGGTGAGCCCGGGAGCTGCGTCCAAGCCCGTCTCTCCCGGGGTGTAGGAGCTGTCCGTGGTGCTGAAGCGGGCGAACGCGTGTGTTGAGGAGGGACACGGCCTCACGCGGGCTGCTGGCTGTGGGCTATTTAGTGTTGCAGACTGCCCCTCAAGGATGTCGTGTGGGTGTCGTAAAGACAGAACTACAACAAGGCTCGTGCATGTTTGCTATCAGTGATACGGTTGGCTGTGAAGGCGCTTGTCTCCAGTGTGTTTCCCCCTTGTATCTAAGCTGCAGTGTTGGGTTTAGACTAAAGAGCCACCTCCTCCAGGGGACGGTGTGTTGTTCTACTGCGCCTCCCGTTGTCAGCGTGTCCAGGGCTTTACTTCACCTCTCCGTGGCATCGCGCTGGGGCATGCTCTGCGCGCGTAGAATCACGTCCAATATTGCAAAGCTTTTAATGTTTAAAAATACAACGGACGCGATTGAAGCTCGGGTGAAAAGTACATTGGATGTGAATGTATAGCAAATGCAAAACCTGATTACAGATGTAAATACTTGAGAGAGAAAATGTGTTTTTTATCACTGTTTTTGTGCTGTATTCCAAAATCACACCTTTTTCAGAAATGTCCTTGTGGGGACCTTGTCAGAGCCCCCAATATTTTGCATGAGCAAATGTGAAAAGCCTGGGATAACACAGGAAGGAGGCTATAGCTATACCGCTTATATAAATTGCCCTCTCATGTGTGCAAGCCAAGGTTCAGTGGTTCGGTAGTGGAGTTCCTCTGACAGATCTGTCTCTACTGTCTACCACAGGAGCACCTGACATTTGCAGGGGCCGACTCACTGACCGGATCATGGCACAGACCAACACTGGAGGGCAGGGGACCAACGGTGTAGCGGACGAGTCCCCCAACATGATTGTGTACAGAAAGGTAATGTGCCAACTATTTTTAGTCAGCGTGAGTGTGCGTGTGTGAGTATCAATTAACCTAAGAATGCTCTGCTGTGGGGATTGCTACAACTAATGTCAAGACACTCTGCTTGGTATGTCACTGATTTGGGCTTTGAAATTATGAATTTGATGGTATTCTCACTACATGCCGTTGTACATGTGGGACAAAACATGGTACACAGTTTATATATACAGTTACCGGACACATGTCAACACATACTGTATTTGTAGACACAAGCGCTGGGTCAACACGCCGCTGTGATTGTTCCATGTTAGACCAGGCCACAAGAGCAAACCTATACACCTCCAATGGTAATGTTGTATTGTAAAGGGGCAGTTTCCCAGTTTGAACAGTTCTAAGTAGAAGAGATTGTGAATAGCTTTTGTCGTGAGCACAGGGAAAGCCTTATGACAAAAACAAGATTCAGTCACAACACTAAATCATATTCAAGGACCTTTTTAGTGTCTGAAATCAACTTCAATTGTGTTTTCTCAATAATAATAACTGTCTTATTTATTCATTCCATTCATTCCAACCTATTGCTTTGATTATGCAGAGGATGAAAAGCTGTATACATTTGTTCTGACTCACAGATGTTCCAAAGCCTATTGTATGTCCCCACTGTCCATAATTAAATGCAGCTGGATTATGCTTATGGTGCCCTTCGAATTTAATGATCATTGTGAGAGGCAAGATTCCACAGCTCTACAGAAGTGGCAGAAAGCTCGTCCCTTTTGTAGTTGTAATAAACGTCTATATAAAAATAACAAAAAAACATGGAGAACACAGATGTAAAATGCACCATAATACTGTATAACCTTACGTTTATACTGTATGGACTCAAAATATCAAAATAAACTCTAAATCCTTTGTGGAGTTACCTGAAAGGAGCTGGAGAGTTATCAGTAGCTCCCGAGCGACTTGTTGGAGACCCATGGTATAATATAAATGCCAGCTTTGTCTAATATAGAATAGACCACCTCTCCTTAACTATGTGACCACTTTCAAAATTTCTCAATCAATCTTAACCCTAATAATATTGTCTGTATCAGGACTTTCAATTCTTCCTTTCAGATGCACACACATCATATGCTGGTGTGTGGACCCAAACAGTGGTCAGACCACAGTGACCAGAACAAAGAGCCTTTTGTCACGGGTCTTTTATGTGTTGGTTCATCCAGAGACAGCCTTGTTTCAGAACATGGACTGTGCTGTCTGGACCGAAGATAAGCACATGATCAGGATTTATAAGAACGCAACAAATACTCATTGTATAAAATGTAATGAAATGTAATATGTTCGGATGATTGTCTGAATGGTTATGAGTTTTTTGGTTTTATCACAACCTCTTATTCATGACAATAGATCTCAAAGCAACAGGGAAGTTTTACTGAATCAAATTTTCCAGTCTTTAATATGTAGCCATTGTGGTAGAATAATAATAATAAATTTTATTTATAATGTACTTTACATTTCAATTAAATCTCAGAGTGCTACAGAACAGGGAACATCCGCAAGAATACACAACATTAAAACATACAAAAATACAGATATACAAAACAGGAAGGATCCTGAACTGTAGCCATTGTGGTAGGAGGACCCTGACCCTAAACCATTTGTGGTAGATATAAAAAAACAAAATTACCTCACAAAAACCAACCATTAATATATTAACTGTTTTCTTAAAGTGGCATGGTCTACAATAAACAAATGCAATTTAAAATCCTATTCATTGAAGTGCATTGATGCTGACATGGTTGACTTAATCTAAAATGTGCTATTTCAAATTTATAGTAAAATGTTTCAGATCTACAATCTCAGACTGTCTGGAATCTGATTCTACTGTTTAATGGCGTGAAATGTTGGATCCTGAACTGTAGCCCTTGTGGGACCCCTATAGCGCCTGTGGTAGTAGGACCCCTGTAGCCCTTGTGGGACCCCTATAGCGCCTGTGGTAGTAGGACCCCTGTAGCCCTTGTGGGACCCCTATAGCGCCTGTGGTAGTAGGACCCCTGTAGTCCTTGTAAATTATGATCTTTTGGTCTTTTTGTGTCTGATATTTCCTCCTGTCACATTATACCAAAGATCTTACATCAAATCAGTGATCAGCCACAATAACAAAGCGTACAATACACTAGAAATGGCCTACTGCAAACAAATGCTACAAACATAATCTTTAGGTAGATTGTTCATTGAGTCGACTATATACACACTCATTTTATATCATCCCGTTTATTGTTTTTGCTTCATGTGACATTTGCAGTTTTGTTATTGGATGTTGAGTTTGTTTATGGTCTGGTTCAGGGCTCTGGGATTGATTGATGATTCTGATCTCCACCTTTCTATATCTGTGCCTTTTTAGAATTTCACAACAGCAGTTATCTCAGAGGACTTTTCAAAGTTGTGTATTGGTCATCAACAGATCAGAGAATCAAAGAATCTTCAGGAAATACCATAATAACAAACGCATTGGAGCCAAAGCCAGCAGGATATGCAATGTTGATAAATGTTAAGGGACAAAAAAAATCCTGATTCCCTTTGTATTTTATTGTGTCCATTCATTAACATATACACGGACAAATGTAAATATGCCGAATTTTAGGTACAACGTTTTTTTCATTCATAGGCACAGAAACAAGACCTTTGTTTGCATGTTCTCCCTGTGTCTGCTCCGGTTTCCCCTACCACTAAAAACATACAATAGGTCATATGTTTTGGTTCTAAAATGTTGAGTTCAGTGTGGATAAATATCAATGTTGTTCACAATTGTCTTCCTTGATTAACTTTACTCAGGGAATATCGCAGCATTTAGTCCATCAAATAGACACTGCTGCAATCTTATAGTCACATATGCTTTTCTCTTGCTATGTCTGGCAATTTCTCCCTCCAACATTTCTATCCTTGCCCCAGTAGCTTTCGCACATCAGGAATTAGACACACTTCCACGATTGACAGTTTTTTATAGCACTCTCAGCAGGCTAGGTAATATTACTGCCAGTGTGGGACAAGGCTTAGCGTCGGAGTCTATTTTATGCCGTGGGTATAAACAGTTCAAAGTCATAATTATGATCCGATTCTTCTTCTTAAAAAAGATTGGGATTAAGAAAAAAAATGGACTGAAAATTGTGAGCTAATGATGATAGATGGATGTGTTAGCTATAGTTATTTCTCTATATATGGAGCCAGGGACGGAAATTACCCTTCAGATGTGATGTAAATTAAATATGTAGCTACATCAAAATGACACAGACATAAATGAACTGGCTCCTATGAGAAAAACGCTGTGGTCAAATCTACATTAGCTACATACAACATTTCCTCTCTTACATGAATATTGTTGGTGTGAAAAACAGAAGCTGGCTGTTTGGTGCCTCCATTTGGCTCTTCTTGCCGCATTTTTTTATGGCCGTGATTATTATAAATGATTAAAGTATTCACCACTTGACCACACATGTCCACAGCTTGTCTGCCTCCTCTCACTGACCCAGATAGGAAGCAGTGCCCGGTGAACGAAGTGTTGTAGAGAGACATCAACCATAACTGCATTGGAAAAGAGACTGCGTTTGGGTAAATATGTGTCCAGAACAGGTGCTTAGATTTGGCTGAAATGGATCAGTTAATATTGATTAGGATTTGCAGTGTTTAATCATAGAAAAGCAAAGTCAGCTATTTTGTTGCTGCAATTTTGATTTCATTTCAAAGAAGATAAATTATGCCTCAGCCTTTATGTGGTGACAATATATGCTCATCAGTCTATGTTTCTACTGTATGATCACATTTGTCCAGTTCTCAGGTCTCTGCGCTGTGTAATCCATGTCCTTGCACCAAAGTACATCTGTGACAGTCTTCCTGAAAATGTAAGACAGGCTTCCACACTGACAATGTTCAAAACCAGTTCTGTTTGGCTGTGCGTACAAGTTAGGGGTCTTCACTCTTCATAATGTACTGTGATTATTTAGAAACAGGGTCGCATCGAGGCTCAGCTCAGCGCAGATCAAGTTAACCATCAGCCATTGATTCCTTGAGGCAAAAAATAGCTGAGCAATGTTGTCAAATCATATCCATCAAAGATCAAGATTTTAAAATCAGCAAGTAACATAATCGCTCTAATAGATTGGCTCTATATCTCAAGTAGCAGCACAGGACCATCATAAAGGTAGATTTCAACGCCACTTTCAAAATTGCCTTCTCAGACACGCTCTGGGTTCACTTTGTGTGTTATTGTCTCTCAAGTGACAATGTAAAACAATATTAGCGATGCTAGCCAGAAACAGTAAGTGGAGCTAACCAGAAACAGCAGAGGGGCTGCCAAAAGAACCACTTCACTATAGCATAGTACACTGTAAACCCTGACAAGTAAAGTTTACTTGAAAAAACCATGGAAATAAATTGCGTATTAACTTCACTTGAATTCCTCGAGTACATCGTTTATTTGATATTACCAAGTAAACTCGAGTGATTGCAATAAAGTTTAAATTTCTACTTCTGCTCCGACTGGGATTCGTACTCAGAACCCTGTAGTTGAATGGTGCTACCCACTCAGCCTCTCTATTAAAGACTCTACACATCAAAATGTCAAAAGTGAGGCTTACTTGAACAGAAACAGTTCAATTCAAAGAAAACCCTGAGTGACATAGGCAAGCTTTAAATAAACTAACAATAAATGAGTAATATCTACTTACTGGGGAAAATCTATTTAAAATAACTTGATATCTGAAGTAGGATTGAAGTTAGGGTTTACAGTGTATGGCATAGTAAGTTTTCATTTTATTTCAAACTCGAACTCCAAAAGATAGAAACAATAACGGCCAAAAACACCACAACACAAAATACTGTGTTTTCACTCACTCAGAGAAAACACAGGTCCAAACACTCTCTGACCCTACACCTCTCTGCCATTGCTAACTCTGTGCTGAGGGCATCACTCTCTTTCCTCCACTTCAGTTCTTCGTTTATAATATATTTGAACAGCATCATAA